ATTTATCTACCTCAAGTAGTGCTGCGAGAAATGTATTAAATGTGTATACATGTCGACATTAAATGATGGGGAAGGGACACGTCACTACTGAGATGGTGCAGAAGGTGTCAGGCCTTAGGAAGATACAGGCTTTGCCTCTCTCAGGTTACCTGTTCCCTAAACATTAAATAATTTGAATTTATTAAAGCTTTTATCACCTTTATAATTCCCAGGCTTCTTTACAAATTTTTTTCACCCCTGTTCACTGAATTCAGCACCTTCGCCAGATACTAGCCAAATATAAACATTTTATAACAGGTCAGGGCTTCCTTCAGATGTGAAAGACCCATCAGTAACAGCTTTACTTTGTCCTCTCCCAAGAAAATTCTGTGGGGTTGCCACCACCAAGTAATCAAGAAAGTTTCAGAAAAAAATGTGTACACGAACTTACTTTATTCATCTTTGTCATTCACACTAGTTTCAGGTGTGGTTTAGTTTTCCAAAGGCTGAGCTCTTCTGACTCTCTACTTGGTAATTAAATTTCATCATACTGACCAGTATCTTGTGGGCTTTGTTGTCTTGAGTTTTGACTGGACCTGTTCACCTACGTGTTCTGGGAGTTGTCATAAAACTGACAACTGCCAAGGGAAGCAGGGTGTTTGGCCAGTGAACAAATTGCACATTTTTCTGCATTGCCCAAAGGTTCCCTATGGATTGTGGATTCTCAGCTGGAGAGTAAAGGGAAGATGCTCAAGATGACTGGAAAATGCCGCTTCCTGGGAGCTCGTTCCCTTAAGTTTACACCAGTGCATGTTTTACCACTCTTCCTCTGCTCTGACAATGTCTTTAATCTGTGAAATACCCCTGGCACAGCAAAGGTTTGAGTTGTTTCTGATGATGGTAGACTGAAAACCCAGCCTGCTGAAGACCCTTGGCCAGGCTGACGCTGTGCCTCTTTGTAAGGCTGTGCGTTAGATTCTACTCTGAGAGAGAACAAGTCTCCTTCACAAGAATACATCATTTTTCCTAATGTTTATCTGATGGTTCTATCTAGAGAGAGAAACATAAATACTGACCTACTGAGTTCTTGGATTTGGTCACTTTTAGTCCCAAAAGTGTTTTTCTTACACTTACTCCCCATCAGGCTCCTCACCTTTTCAATGCCTTCTTTCTCTCATTGTCTAGATCAGTGTCGTTAGGGTAATTGCAGATTCCTGTATTCACAGGGTTTTCAAGTCATCTTAATTGCATCTCAAAATTATCTCCTGTAATCAGTCACTTGGTCTGCCTAAATGCACCCAGAATTACCTCTCCCAACAAAACAAAAAATGTAAGCCTGAGGGACAGACAGGGAAATAGAGCTGAGCCAGGAGAGATCTGAAGCTTTCCCCTGCCATTCAAAGTGATAACAGCTTGCTTGAAAAGAGTGGGTGGATCTTGACCAGCACTAATTTTAGGCAAGTAGGGTCTGGTGTCATGAGGAGGGGAGCTTTATTTTTGCATGGAGTGTGAGAGAGCAACACACGCAGGGAATGGAAGAAGGGCACAGGCAAAAGGAATTTGGGGATTAACAGGTTTATAGCTGCCCTTTGCACCAGAGTCAGTGACCACCGGGTGTTCTCTGAGAGAAAAACCTCCGTGTTGTGTTCACTCTCCACTCACTGACTTAAACATTGGTTAATGAAAACTAGTACTGCCCCTACTGCTGTAGCTTTAAAAAACGCTGTTATTCCAAAAATACAATCAGTGATTGAATTGAAAACTGAAGAGTCTGGCCTGGGGCTGTGTCCCACCAAATAAGTTGTTTACACCGAGTTTTTCAGCACTGACTTTAGTCTGTTTGCATTGTAAGACTCCCCTCTCTGAGGCCAGGCAGGGCGTGTTCAACATCCCACCTGAGTCTTGTTTAACAGGAAGGGATAGCTCAGCTTGAATCTTGTACCCAGGGAGTGGAACAGTGTAAGCACAGAGAATTAGGACAACACAAAAGCTGGCAGGTATGTTGGTGCAAATGCAAACAGCTGGTATTTGCAGTTTACTCCAAAATAGTGAACTATATGTGAGAATGCCCTGCTATTCAAAGACAGACAAGAAACAATTGCTTATACCTTTAATCAACCACAAGTTGTTCTGTTCTGTTTTTTAAAAGAATAAACATGGCCCAGAAATGAAACTTAGGAAAAGAGGAAATGCAGTTTACAAAATTGTCTGATACCTGTTACATTGACCTCCTAAAATTTTAACCCAAGATAGAGAAACATTTCAGTGGCTCCTGCATCACTGCAGTCAGTCCCGCTGCTCTGGTGATGGGCTGTGCCTTTCCCTTTGGACATGGGAAAGTGACTCTACGCGTGGTCTGTGGCGCTACACTACTCTTTGGGCAAAATCCCCACAAGCAAAAACCTTCTGACTAGGTGACTTCACAAAATGAAGAAAAATGTGAAAGCTTTCAGAATGTGAAAAACAACTGAGGTCAGAGTCATACAAGCCTGAAAGCTGATACAAGAAGTGTTGGGCTCAGCGTGAAAAGGGCAGGGCAGTAAGAACAGCTGTTGTGCTTGTCATTTGTCTCCTATAAACCAGGTGTGTACAGAAGTCCTCCACATGCACTGCTTAGCAAGAATTTGGGCCACCTTCTATTTCTGGTAATTTGTTACTGGATAACATTTTTCTCTTGCCCCTAAATTTTTATAGGTGGCACTAAATGTATTTGCTTACATCCAAGTACAAGTCATTCTGGACTGCATTAACACAAAGCATCTTGCTGGCTTTACGCCATGTTTGCTCTTGTGGAAAAGGGCTGGAATAAAGCATCATTGGGACCATAATACCAAAGTGTGGGAGACTTCAGATTTTGTTTTTAATCACTGTCCTGTGTTTTAATTCTTTTTCAAGCACAAGTGCTTTTAAACCATAGTATCTGTCTCTTTTACACTGTGACCAAACTTTGATTAAAGCAGTTTTCATACCTTTGGCTTAATTTTTAAGCTGTGACTAAAAATACAGGCTATTCAAATACATCAGTACAGAACGTGGACTAAAATGTATGTTATATATATGTATATAGTGCACTTTTGGTTATTTTTATGAACTATTTAAATGCCTGTCATTAAACTTTTCTACACTGCAGAGCTGAGACATAACTTGACTTGAATACTCAAGTATGCAAATGTCTGTCTGAGCTTGGCAGCTACTGGATAGACCAATGTAGTTACTATATACACTTTCAGCCATGCTCTTGTCTAAATAACTGTATTTGAGAGTTTGAACCCTGTAAAATGTTAATACCAGACTTCTAGGAAATAAACATCTGTACCAGCCTTCCTGTTGTTTTCTTTCATAGTAGTGCAAGAAGGAGTTAATTTTCTAAAATGAAGCAACAGTTTGAATGCTGATCCAGCCTCTTGAGGAAGAGCTGTGATGGCCTGACTGTCTCAGCACTGCTCATCTATCATGGGAAAACTTATTTCAGGGCCTCTCTGACAGTAAAGCCTTTATTTGCAAGGAGACTGGCAATAGGCTGAAAAGAGAAGTTATTTCTAAATTGATACTTAATAGGATGTCTCTGAATAAAGAGTAAATGCCATCAGCCAGTAGGGTATCTTTTAGGAAAACAAATTCAGTAAAGCAGACATAATGAGTTCTCCTCTGCCCATCACCATGGCCTTTAGCCACCAGTCACTGCCGAGAGCTCAGGAACACCTGAGCTGTGTTATATTTGTGTCTAGATCTTTTGTCCTCCCACACTGGTTTACAGCCATGTGTGGAACAGCAGTGCGACTTTGTTGGGTTCTGTATGTAGTTTGCTATCAAACACACTCGGTTCAGGAGAAAATGTGTTACCGCTATAATTACTAATAGTCTTGGCTTTGCAGTAAATCTGAAATACGTAAGACAAAATGAATCCCACCTGAATGTCTTAGTCTGAGGTGGTTGTCTTCAGCATCAGTAGAAAGATGTAGGAATGAAGGGTTGTTTCTTAAACCAGATCCAGTAAACCACTGTGAAAAGGCCTGTTTTCTCTCTACTGATTTACAGTGAGAATCCCAATGAGCAATTCAAATGTCCACAGGTCAGGTAAGAATAATTCCATCTTCTGTGTCTGAAAATAAACAGTTCCAGGCAAAATACAACCCTCGCATCAGGAGGTGGACTCCTCTAAAACCTATGCCCCCCCAGTGTTCCCCTCCTCCTCTTAATCCACTTATGATGATAAAGCAATTCCCTTTGATCTTTCACAGAAATGGCAAGCACATACAGCTTAGCATGTAATTTCTTTTCATGCCTAGAGTCATGCAGCCATTTCTCTGCTGGATCCAACCCTGTCTGTGTGGAGTGGTGTCTTGACATAAACGGGATAATAATTCAGCCCTGGCTCCATAAAGTAATGTGGAAGGCATTTGGCAGTGTTCCTAAATTCTTGCTGTTTAAACATGAGGAAGCAGATCACTTCTGCATACCAGCATTGATTTATAGAAACTGAAGGCCATGAGGAATCCTTCCATTTAAACTAAGCAGGCAATGCAAGAGTTTCTGCATTCCTGGTTATAGGTTTGAGCCCAGTCACCCTGATGCAGTGAAAGAAGCCACCAACTTGTTAAATACAGTGGTTAAACATTGTTTAAAACATTTACTGCTTCTTTCACAAGGGCTACTGAAGGTAAACTCCTGTGCATTTCTCTGTGCTGAGTGTTTTAAAAGATTTTGGGTAACTTCATAAAGTCTTGGGTCTTATTTTAATACCTCCAAATTTTTCTTCTAATTCAAAGAACACAACCTTACTGTGCCTGGAGACAGCAGGTACGTATTCACAATGGGAGAGACTCAGCAGCGGGGGAAGAAAAAAGAAATCCCAGGCACCACTCTCCCCCATGATGAGAACACCTGAACACAATTTATTTTTAATAGGCCTGTGGCATCCTACTTCCTCTCACCAGCAGGCACACTACAGTACTGTCACTGTGTAATTAGAAGCTTTATGCTTCTGCTGTGTCAGTTAATGTATCTATAACTTGGTGACACTAAGTTCCTGTAGAAGTGGATTTAAACTTCTGGGAGATTTCTTCCAGCACTTCCATCAGCTTCTCCTCATCTTCTGGTGGACTGTGGGTGCTTGCCAGGGGTAGGTGTGTAGGGACTGGTTGCCTGTCTGGAAGAAGAAAAAAATTTAAAAACCCTTATGGGTACATTATGGGAGCTGGACCCAGTGATCCTTAGGGATCCCTTCCAACTTGAGATATTCTATGATTTAACTACCTTTCCTGGCACAAAGGAGATTTTTCTGCTAGGCAATATACTTCCCAAACATACCTCATAGTCTTGAAGCCAGGAAACTTACCTTTTAGATTTCTCTAAAGAATGTTAGTTATTATCTTCAAACCAGAAATTAAACTAATTTAATTTGTATTCTGGATCTAGAATGATTGTCCTTTTGCACAGTATGACTTCGCCTGGGGAGCGAGAGACCTCATTTGCAGCTAGGGACAGGTTAGATAAAGGAAGGCCTTACTGGGAGGTTTACACATGCTCCCTGTAACTAGCATAACTCCTGTAGACAAAGACCAATAACTTGAGATTATTGCTGCAGGCAGAGGTTGTTTTTCAGCATGAGACAGGGATTTCCCCTGCCTCCTGGATAATGTTTTCAGTGCTACACAAACTCCCCAGCTGGGACACTGTAGTTGGGATATCTTAAAATGCTTACTTTCACTAATTGCCCAATCACCCTAAGTAACATCTATCCAATATAAAGATATCTGACCAAAGTTGCTCAATTTGATGCTTTGATGGGTTTTCCAAATCTCATACTCCTTGCTCTGTGTAAATACAGCTGTATCACCGTCCATTCCAAGGTGTTTTTCTCTCCAAAACCCTGTACATTATCTAGGTCCTGGAAACCTTACAACAGTGCTCTCAGATGTCTGTGAAGCAACCATCAGAGCACTGGTGCAGCATTGTTAGTCTATTTAATAAGTCCATCTTCCGCAATAGCCAGCTGAGACGAAGAACAAGCTGTTGCAACACTGTGCAGCAGATTTCTCTGAAAACGTTATCAGGCTGCCATCAGGCTTCCCAGGGGAGCAGAGAGTTTGCTCTCTTAAGAGCAAATGTTGCAACTGGCTGTACACTTTCTGCTCATGGAAAACTGAAGAGAAAGAAGCATGCAGGGGAACATTCCCTTCTCCATTACTGAGTATTAACTACTTCCTATCTAACTGTAGTGCTTCCAAGAGTCTGTGCTAAAGTTTGAGAACTCTGTGTGAAAGCCAAGTTCAGCATCATGGAGATGCTTCTAGTCTTTAGAAAGCAGGCCCCTGTCAAACAATTTTTTATTTTTTTGACAGATGCAGAGAATGCTGGTTGTACAAGTCATGTTCTCACTTCCCTTTTTCCCCCCCCCCCCTCAGGAAAAAAAGATTGCTGGCTTTGGTTTGCACTCAAAAGGAACTGAATAAATGAGAACTGAGGAAATGGAAGGGAAGGTGTGACTGATTCAGGAAATGGCCGTCTAGTACCACAGACTCTGCTCTTCTGGTCAAGTGCTCCTGCACACAAAGCCCTTTACTGAACAGGCCTGAAGAGGGCCCATACTAAGGGCTGTCAGATGGCTCTAGTCCTAAGGGCTTCTGAAGGGCAGAGAGAGAAATAACAGACTTCGCTATTTGATAAGCACAGGACACGGACACAAGACTTATCTTGCAGCCTTAAGAGAAGCCATGCCAAGACCAAACCTCTCAAAAGTAATTATCTGTACCTAAAGAGCCAAGGTGTATTCCCTGTTTACTAAAGCTGGGGGCAGAGAAAGGCAAGAGCCTGATGGAATTATGATCTAGAACAAGAATAACTGAACAAAAGCATTAGGACCAGAAGAAGGTGACAGGTGTACGAAAAAGACAAAGCCCGGTTCTACAGAGAAGACTGACCAGCTAGGATGTAGGGCTTCTGCATGCACTACATGATGACATGAAAAAGGTCTGGTTAAATATTTGTCAACCAACCCTGTGTGACTGTCTGGGAGGAGACAGAAAGAACAAAGTCAACCCAACTCCGGAAAAGTCTGAACTTCCTGCTGCTGTGTCAGAAATTCAGTGGATCAGGATTTGAGTGACGCATTCAAAAAGAAGTACTGGGCTCCTGTAAGCAACTACCCTGAGCTTTTCCTTTCTCCTACTAGACTGACCTGCATCGCCGTTAAGATATTTATGCTTCCAGCTGCTCGTACTAAGATGCCTGTCATTTGCCTGGGAGAAAAGAAAGGCTCTACCGTATTTTTCCATTCCCTGTGCTTACAGTGCCAAAAACACCACTGTGCTCAAGTCTCTGCCCAGTGTTAAAGAAAGGGGGAGTTGGCAGTTTTAACTAGCACAGAACAGTAGGAAGAACGTGTCACAGCAAAGCCAACCCCCACTGCTCCTCAAGAGGGATGCTAGTTTCCCAGTGTCATAAAAGATGCTGTTTGACTGCTGTGATTCACCTTCCCTTGGCACAGTCCTGCATGTAGCCCCATTTTCTTTAAAAAAAACCAAACAAAACAACCGTCCCTAAATAAATACTTTGAAGTCTCTATCAGCTACTTTAGAGGACAAAAGCAGGAACCTAACAACTTAATACAGTCCTTCTCTGGTTGCACAATGCTCACTTGAACCTTTAGTCTTGGACCAATTTTGAGAAATACTTTATCCTTTGAACATCAGTTGCCTGGTCAAGCCTTGATCCCCTTCCAGGCCAGATGGCGATCCTACAGTTCAGGGAGCTTAGGGATCTCCACTGCTACGCACTGCAAGACTCTGCCACCTTACCTTGAAAGAACAAGCCGCTCGGTAACTTTGTTGCTTCAGACGACACTGCCAACCACACAACAGTATCAGCTCCCTGGGCCTCTGTGCGCAGGTTATTCTTCATCTTCTGATAGAAATCTGGCATTGACGATCTCACAGCTATAAAGAATAACAATGGAATGGTAGTCTGCCATGCAAAGCCTTTTTGATTAAAAAAGAAAAAAAAAGGCAGCTTCAAATTGCCACTGTGAGTGCAGGGAGAAGACAAGGCACAGCTAGGAGTACAATGACTTGTGGTGGAATTGTACCAAATTGACAGATGATCCACCAGTTGTTTGTTTGGCCCAAATTACAGGGACAAAACTAATAAGAGCTGAGAGCAGGATCAGCAAGAGGTTCCTGAGCCAATTCCATTCTAAATAGCAAAGACAACATGGGGAAACAGAAATACTGAAACCCAGGTATTCTAACAGGATTTTTAGCTCTTATTTTCTCACCAGTTTTAGGAAACCAGTTGCAGTATTGTATTTAGAAACTCTGTGGTGAACAGTACCTAAACCAACTCCAGAATTCATGTTTAAACTCTGGTTTCTTTTTATTTGTCCAGCAGGTGACGACTGAAGGCCCATCCCCTGCAGCTGTTGATTTTGGGGGGTTGGAGAGTCCTTAAACTTTAAGGTGGGATAACCTTGTGGTTCATTAGGTTTGAAATCAAAAAGGGATGTGCAAAAATAAATGTATTTTAAAGAAAAAGAGATAATAGGTTTATTCAGTTGGAAAGGGCAGTTTTCAAGCTGAGGTAAATGCTTCTGTCATCAGAAGCAAATCTGGTAAACTGCATCCCTGGAAAAGAACTAGGGATTGGATTGCTAGTCTGCATCCCAAACTTGGGTGTTAGGGGCTGGTAACATACTGCAGAACGCAACATGCATACTGGATAACTGATGCTGGCCCCTCTGCTGAGACGCAGTCACTGAAGAACAGCTGCAGCTCAGACAAAGGGCTGTCTGGCCAAACAAGCTGCTTCTCTACAGCAGTAAATGTTTAGAGGAAGAGCAGAGAAACAGAGCTTCCACAATGGCGCGTGCTCCCTTTTCCTTTATGCCCTCACAAATTCCCAGTGTCTGCACATTGGCACTTGGAGAGGCAGAAGCTCTTTCTGTGTGTTTAACAATTCCACTACAAATGTAACTTAAAAGTTACCTTAATGCACTATGGCTCTGCTGCGCATTTGCATGGGGCAGGAACCTTTCATCACCCATTATTATTCTCTGGCTATACATATATAGCAGACACTGTGCAGAACAGAGCTACCAAGGGGACACAAAACTACTTCAAGCACCAGTCTGGAGCCAAGAAATCACTGCAGCTGTTACAGAAATCTACCAGAAAGTCTCATTTCTCTTTGCTTTTAGACTAATCCTGAAAAGAGAAAAATATAGTCAGAGTGTCAAGCAGGTGTTACCTGGAGTGTCGGCCCAGCCAGGGTGCATAACAGAGAAATGGATGTTTCTGTGAGTCTTTGCCCATTGTTCTGTCAAGACAACTTGCTGTCTCTAGGATAGAGCAAAAAGAGCCAGACTAGAATCAAGTTCAATAGCCTGTCCACTAAGTCAGTTCCCAAGGAGATAAACTACATCAAATGTGCTGTAAATAACAAGGCATTTATGTATAGCAGAAATATACCCTTGCTCATCCTGACTGAATTTACTAGATAATTTTGTCAGAGACCATCATGGTCATTGCAATCCATATCCGGGCCACAAGCTTACTTTTAAAGTGGTTACACTGCTTTTACTGACCATGTCCACTTGCAGACTGCAGGTAAAAACTAAGCAGGCAGAAAGGGTTTGTCAGCTAAAGACAGTTTTTTCCCCCTCGAAACTTAAATCAAACCAAATGAAAGACGAGCCAAGCTCTCCATGCAAGATGATGTGTGCTCATAAGTGCATGCCATCCTACTCCTGAAGATTATTGCTTATGTGTCTCTTTATAGGTTGGATGTAATGGGAAAGCAACAGTGAAAAAACAGGCTTTTTGCAAAGCAGATGGTATAAGCCACCTAGCAAACAAGTGTTGGGCTCTGTTTTCAAAACCATGGACTGTACCTTGTTTTGTGCATACACCATAGTTCCATCAAATGTCCCATTTCCGGACTGCAAGTCACATATATTTAATTTTTGAACTAGCATGCCCCCAGAAGAGACAGTTATCTGTAATCAAATGAATGACAAGCAAATAATGAATGAAAAGCAAAAGCAGAAACTCCCCACAATTGCACTCATGCATGTAATGTGGTCTTCAGGCCGTATTTTGAAGTCTCGAGGAGCAGGATTCCTCTGTATACTCTTGCACTATGCTTGTGCTCATGTGTGCAGCATACCTGGAGATGAGGTCAATGAAATAGAATTTGTTTAAAAAAGTTATTTTCATTCAAAGTGGTGTCAACTTCATGATTCTTCCTTTTCAAAAGTAATCAGGAGAAATAAAATAGCAGAATAGCACTACTTGTAGTTTAGTTTAGCACTTATAGAAGGGTTGAGAGTAGCAGGCAGGAGCTTTGCCTTGGAGAAGGAGGTCGTTGTTAGCAAAATCCAAGACTATTCTAGAGATAATTACAGCGTTACAACTAATCCGGCATTGCTAGCACAGTAATAGAAATGCTGTCACAAACCAGAAGATAAGAATAGCAGAACACTGCTTTTCAACAGCATCACAGACTCACCACTCTGGCATCAGCTGCTTCTTCCAGGAGGGGCAGCAGGGCAGTTGTCAGAATGTATGTACCTACAAGACAGACAAGCACCAACATTAACTTTTCTTTTCAAAAATTCTTTCTTCTCTCCCCACCCTCTATAAGAACCCAGAACCCAAAGTTGCTTTTTTTCTGAAACTTGATCTGAATATAATGATGATTTATTTGCTGCTTTGCCTAAAACATACCAGCTCAACTTGTAGTGGTGCATGTTGCTGCATACTTACCGAAAGGCACGAGTTATTTTATACTTTTATGTTTATTGTACCTATAGAGCAAACTGCTCACTACATTCAGTCATGATGCTGAAGGCAAAATGGCTTAGGTATGGATTTCATTGGGGGTGAGGTGATGCCAGTGAAGAAATAGGGAATGCATTTGTGTGGCATAGGTACGCATATCCATGCTGGGTCATGAACAAGAGAAGGAAACTGTGCTTCACACTTGTGTTTCTTAGGCCCTTGCATACGCACTTAAGACTGATCCATTTTTACCTTCTTATTTTGAAATTACTCAGTGTACTCAGACACTTCTTATTTGTGTTGCACACAAAAACTGCCTCTTAAATCCACAGCATGACTATTACAAAAGATAAGGAACCCTTGGGGGGAAAAATATTAATGTTGCGTGCCCAAGGCTGAGCTAAGATTACTTGAGGAAACTTAACTGTGTCCTTCCTCACTTTCATCGTGTTCATTTTGCATAGATTTGTACACACCACACAAATATACTCCATTACAGTTGTTACCATGACCAGCAAAGTTTGTTATTCAAAACATTGTTTGACTGCTAGTGTGTTTGAATCAGACACACCTAATGATGTTTCACCCGCTCAAGCGCAGCACAGGGAATTTTGTTTGGTTTTATTTTTTTTCCCCCTTGAAACTGTATTTAAAAAAAAAAAAGTTTAATTCAAAATGAATCTAGCCCCATTTAGTCTAGCGTTTCTTCATCGAGTATAATACTCCCCTCTCATGTCTTCACAAATGGCTCTAGTTCAACAATTCTATGTCAGCGACAAACATTTTTTTCCATGAGCTACCAAGGCCATGTTTTTCACTAGACACGAAGATTTCAGCATGTGTCTTTATAACCTCTCTTCCACAGAGGCAATGATATCACCCAGTTAAAACACAGCATGTTTATAAATATGCTACCAAAATTAAACGTGTTACATGCTTGGTGAACAAAACTGTTCAGTTCGCCCGTCAGTCACAACAGTCTTCATTTTCTCTGTATAATCAGAGGGACATCCATATGCACACAATACATTTAAAACCCTGGAAAAATCAAACAAAGCAAATGCAAAGCAGATGAGCAAATGCAGCCTGTCTTCAGCAGAAAATGAAAGCAAAGGCGGTTCCCAGTGAATAATGAGAGCCCATCCAGTCTCCCCTGCTAGTGGCGGGGAGACTGAACGATGACATCATTAGGACAAGAACTACCACTCATTGTCATGGGAGACTGTGCTGCGATGTAAAACCAAAAAAAAAAAACACAAAAAAACCCCAAAAAAACCAAAAACAAACCACAAAACACTTCAGTACAAGCTGAGAGCTTGGATTAAATTCTGGTTTGCTATGGATTCTTCAAATGCAAAGTAACATCACGTCTTGGTTAAATAAGCTGCATTTCCTAAAGGCAGAGCTGCAATGCACCAGCTATGAGATGCTTGATTTTACTGTCCTGCAGATTAATTTACACTTTTAAGGGGCTTCATGTTGTCTTGTTAATTCTAAAGGGATGCACAGATCAATGCATTAATATTGCCTCATTAACAACTGGAGTTGGTTTTGTTTTCCAGCTGGATGAGAGAAATCTTCAATACCAAAAATCCTGCTTATAGCAACTACAGCTTGTCAGAAGTTTGTGCTTATTTAAAACCACAAACTGCAAAGCCAGCATCTCCTCTCTTCCTCAAGTTTATTAACAATTCAGTAAATCCCACAGAGCCAGAGCATTCAATCTTTTTGCCCCACAAAACCATTTGCTTTGAGACAGAGCACAAAAAGACCAGTTTTGACCCCAGCTTCCTATGCTAAGCACTGGTATCTCAAAACACACACAGATGCAATGCATCAGGCATTATGACTGAAGCATTTAATTTCTCCCAGTAGTAAATATTTCACCAACTATTGTCTAACTATTTTCAAGTGTTCAAACACAAACTCCTTAGTACTTTAACAAAGATACTTGGATATTATACATTCCTATTTGCATGGGCTGGTCTGTCAGGCAAAAGAGCCTGGACAAGAAATTCAGTACAATAATAGTAGAATAGCTATACCTTATTAATAATACCTTATTAATGTAATTTGATAGTTACATTCAAGAAAATAGGAAGAATGCTGCATTCAGTAATACATAAATTAATTTCTAAGTAAAAGGGGAAGCTGCAAATGAATGTGTTGCCTGCCACAGTCCTTATAAAAACATGAATTACATTAACAGTCTAAAACCAAAAAAATAAAATGTTCTTATTTTTAGTAAAAATAAATTGCAAGAAAAACCAAGACTGATTTGGTAAGAAGAAACTGCATTCCTCTCTCCCCCACCTACGGAAATCAAGACAACATCCAAATTGTATTTCCTTTTGCTAATAATCGATTATTAATATCAATGTACAGGACATCTGCCTTTCCAAAATGAACACTTCAGCATTCTAGTACGTTTCCTTGACACAGGGAGCTACAAGCACACCTACAAGGCAGTGCTGGGCATATGGCTGTACTATCGGCACCTATGATTGTGTGACAGAGGCCGGACTCTTACACATCACCTTTTCCTGCCATTGCAAAGTATATTGCCAACATGGCCTGAAAGCTTGACTGCCACTGGTGTTAACAGTGGGGAAAAAAAAAAATTGCAGTTCAAACAGTATACAACACTTCCCTCTAAAAAGGAATATTTGCTGTGCCACAAAGGAGTCCAGCAAGATGAATTTGTGAGCTTGCTCAGAAGCAGCAGGGATGCAGAAAGTGGTGAGTAACTGTCCAGTCTATTACCCCCACATACAGAATTTCATCTTGCCCTCATTGAACTCTGCCGAGGTGAAGAGTTGACTAGAGAAACCTGCTGGACAGCTACAGCCCTGTTCCATGTAATGAGGTTTGACACACTACTTGCTGGCCATGTTTTCTCCAGTTAAAGAGGCTCCTGGGATTGATGCACAATTTCTTTTAAAGATAAACATCCTTTCAACATTTGCTTTTCTTTGGAAAAATTCCTGTAAGTTTTATGTCTTGAAGCTGAGCTCACATACTAGGAAATCATATAAACACAGTGTAATTAAAACTTTCCTATAAGGATACAGCAATTCCACCATGACACTCCCTCCCAAGTGCAGATCATATTAACGTTTAAGTTTCATGTTTGCTTGCTCAAAAAAAAAAAAAAAAAATTGAATCACCATGCATCCCTTGTGACCTGTTTTGTAATTGCTCCACTTGCTCTGAGACCTTCTCAATTTAGTTGAGCAATCTGATATTTTGTTCTAATTAACAACTCCCATTTTTGCCTCCATACAGTGAGCTCCTCTGTCAACCTGTATGAGCAGTCATTCAGGGGTTTCACAATCAGAGTGAAACCTTGATGCAGGTGTAGAAAATGAGAAGCTATTATAGAGATAAACATTCAATTTGTACACTAAATTGTTTAAAAAAAAAACAAAAACCAAAACTACAAAAAATCATCTTGTCTGCTTCATAAAGTCTGAAACATAATTAGGCTACCTTTCACATGACCTGAAGGAGAAGCTGAAGGGACTCTATGGAAAACACTATTGTTAGGTCTTGTGGGAAGGTAGCTCTGCATGTTCCTGCAACTGTTGGTTGACCACAGATCTCACTACCTCTACCACAGCACAGACAAAGTGAAAGCTATCCCCGTGCAAGGGACAGAAGGCTACTACAGTGCATTAGACACTGGTCTTTCCTACAGAAGGCTACAAATCTTTCTGTACTAGAACATGAAACTAAGCAAAACACAGAAAAGCCCTAACAGAAAATATAAACAACCACTGCTAAAGCAGATTTCCAAAATGCTGGTGTTGTAACTCAGCTTTAGCCTGATAAAACCTAGAAGACTCCTTAGGATTCATGTATTTCAGAACTGGCAATCAACAGGATATCACCTATACTAATAGTACATGAACACATACACCTATCTGCTTTACAGATTTTAAGTGACCCCAAAACCTGTACTTGAAAATTGATTTACAAAGAAAATTATGGTTTCAGCAGGAGCATTGTAAAGCCACTACCTGTTTATAACATCAAATTAATTGATGATGCAATTATTGCAGATCCAAGTGTCTTAGTGAATTCTAGAATAGTTTTTGCTTGATGTTCTATCTGGCAATTAGTGGTAAATTGTTGGTGATGTTTTTAATCTGCTAACATTCAGATAAGGGCAGGCAGCCAGCACCACACTCGGTGAAGCTTTCCATCTGCCTGAGCTTTGCAGTGTTATTAGGAACAGTGTTATTTCAACTGTGAAAAAAGTGGTGACAAAAAAAACCCCCAAACTTTTATTGTACAGATTTCAATGGCTCATTCATCTGGTAAAAATCAGTTAAATTGGCTTGCTTTTCCTATGTCCAAGTCTGAAAAAAAAACCAAACTGACATTCTTCCTTCACCTGGTTATCTTTTCAAGCCTTCAATTTATGCAGTTCCAAGTAAGAGACATGCCTGAGTCTGTTTCCTGAGTACAAGATCAGGAATGAAGATTTTAATGTGCTGTCTCTGAGGGTCACTTCCACCACACCGGCAATAACTATGAGTGTATGGCAAGAGCCAATGAACACAAAAGACAAAGCAAAGGTTGACATTTCCCTTGAATTACAAAACTCAGCTCAATGAGAGTTCTTCTGTATCCTGGGAACCTAGGCTTCAGTATAGCTAGTTGATTTGCAATTATATTCAACCTTATCCTGTCATGTAGCATCTCTCAACCATAAGTATCAAAGCTCTTTAGAAAGAAAATTGGTGTCATTGATGCCTTTTCACAGGTAAGGCTGTCTTGCCAAAGAGCAGGCACTGACCCTATGGCAGACTGACGGTATTCAAGCTGCCTGACTTCCACCAAGTAGTTCAGAACACAGTCCCCCAGGCAACACTGGCCTGTGTGAAACACCTGTTTGATATTGTTTATGTGTAGGAAAGAGACCGATAGACATCCATACGGGTTAGGCAATCTGCCACAGATGGGCTGTACTGCTACTGTGATAGAACAGCATCTTATTTCCTCTGGCCCTACCCCTTCTTGCACAGAGAGTAAATGTATGTGGCTATATTATTAAAACATGACAGCACATTAGACTGAAGAAAAGATGCATACTGGGAGGATCATTTATTTATCTCTGAGTCTGTTTTAGCATCCCCTTGGCTGGTAAGTAGCAATAAAAATGTAACATATATGCCATTTTTCCATGTCAACCAAGAAGATGTGTTGAGTAAAAGTGAGGCAGGCTATAAAACAGAGGAACAAGGATTGTTTCAGCTACATGTCTAGTGCTTCAATAAGAACATGCTGCTGTTGCCTCCTTTTGCCTACCAATGCTGACAGGTTTTTTCCAAAATGACTGAATACTGCCAGTTTGAATAGTCTCTATTGGGAATTTTACTAAAATAAGCAAAATAAATTTAATTTTTTTTTAAAAGTGTTGAATCAAAAGTCTGCAAGTCTCATCAGAAAGAACAAGTGCTTGTTGCTGCCCAGCTGCTGGATACAACCCTGAGTACAAGGCCAGCCCACAAAAGGAAACAGAAGGGCAACAACACACAAACTAAAGGATACACATAAAAAACCTGCCCATCAGGATCAGCAGCTCCCCAGGAAATCTACCCACATCACCCCAAGCCAGTCACTCAATTTCATACCAAAGGTATGATTCAATCAGCAATGTGCCATGTCAGGCTTGTGTCTGGCTAGTGCTCCCACATTACAGTCGAAGTGTTCCACTGTTACCCTGCTCTCTACATCTTCACTGAGCTGCAGCAATCAGAGCAATAATTCTTGGGGATCTAGCACGGGAAAAAAGGCAAGACATTTCATGTGACAGCAACAGCAGAACTAGAACAAGCCACACAGCATTTGTGCCCGAGCCTCACTGTAAGGAACCTAGGCACCAGCACAGATACGGCTGCCGCTGCCAGCTCAAAGCAGTTTACATTTTGAACTTGAGTATTAGACAAACCATAAAAAAGCCTGAATTATCTACCTGTATTTTGCATTTTCATGACCTTCACCCACCTGTATATTCTGACAACACCAGAGAGAACTCTGCACCTCCTATTTCAGTAAGCTGTCCTCAATTAGCCAGTCAGTGGTGTTTCATGTTAAGGGTAGTTTACTTTCTATTCTAACCAGTATTATTTTTGTACATATTCATCTTATCTACCAGAAGACTTATACATTCTTTTTTGTCCCATTTATGTGCAAGAAAAGATCAGGATATAAAGCATGTTTCACAAGTCAGATGATCAATTTGAATGCAACTCTAACATCCATTATGCTCAAAAACAGACTAACAAGTCAGTCAAGAGGAAAATATTCCTAGATTGGATTTAAAAGCTCCACAGCATTACAGACACCTAAATGAGCAAGCCTACAGCTTATATAAATGTTAATCAGATATCAGATACAGAATTCAAAGACTCTGCCCTACATTTAAAGCATGTTATAGTCCAGAGTCTTGCATTCTTAGATAGTCACAATCTGCATGCTCCTTTACTAGACCAGAGCTAAGATCCATGGTAGAAACTCACACTAACAGTGAAAGATGGAAGGAACACCCTGAATGTGAAGATCTGAAAAAAATATTAATATTATTCCATCTTATTTCACCAGAAATCAGGCAGTCATGAGTTATTGTTTCCATGCTGCTGATGAGGGGCACAACTTCATATTTTCAAAACAGGGGTCTTAAGCCCACGTCGCCCTTCAGGCTTTAGCTTTTCTGGGGAAAGAGGCAGAGAGGGGAATTCAGTTTGCTCTCTCAGACCACATTTTAGTTTATAGCCAACCTATATAACAGCCATATCTAATTTAGCCAAGTTTTTCTCTGGGAACCTATAACCACAGATAGTTACTGATACAGAAATAACTTCTCCGAAGTAAAGCATGCCCAAAGGCACCTAGTGCTTAGGGAAATGTCTTAACACCGCATCTATTCTGACACACATTTCTCCATACAGCTTTCTCCTACTCTGACTCCAGCAGATATGATTTATTACCCCATTCCTGACTTTGAAGAAAAAAAATTGCACTGTTGATAACATTGGTCCTTCATATGTGTCTGATCTGCTAGCACAGAAGCTTTCTCTTGCACAGCCAGCCTCTTCCAGCTCAACCAAGTCTCATTCTGTTATAAAAGCTTCAAAAAAATGTAATCCTTATTGTTGCCTAGAGAGAACCAGTCCAAGCAAACAACCCAGTCCTCGTCCCAACTCTGCAGAAGTTGGACAACAGAGGATGACCTGTTTTAATCATACCTGCTCAAATGTGCAATCACCTCCTTGACCTTCTTATACAGTCATGCAGCAAGTGATACACAAATTAATGAAAGATCTATATGTAACATTCATAAAGGATAATACAGGCATTTTCCTAGGTCACTACAATCATAATTCAGCTTCCTCTGTGCAGCTGTGTTAACTCTTGCGGGGCTGATTTACAGCTGGGAAAGCAGAACTTGCTGCTTCTACTTGTGTGATAAAATCTAATTCAAGTAATGCACTAGTACAGTTCCTCAGCAATTAACTTCCTCAATGTTTAAAACTAAACCAAAACATGCTTTCATGTTCAGACTGTTACACTTGTTTCACTCTGCATCTCTCTGGAACAACTGCACCTTTGCACATGGCTGGATTTTTGTTTGAAAGACCACAAGAGGGTTAAACTAATTTACGGTGAATAAATTTCTCAAGGTAGTTCTTGCACTTCCGCAACAAGGGGAAATTTGATGGCAAAATAAAATTAATTTTGAATTTTGACCATGAGAAACAGAAGAATGTTAGCAGAAGATTAATTTGAAGAAAACGAATCAGTGCTTTTATACTTGAATTAATTGTCAGTTTAATATAGTCAGACCTGCAGAAAAAACAAGCTGTATGCACCGTAGCAGCTAAACACAAGACATTTATACCCAAGATGTCAGTTTTCAAAAGTAAACAGGAGTTAAGGAAGCAACACAGGAAAAAGGCTAACAATAAAACCCAAAAATGGTTTCCAGGCTATATTAATTCTATAAATGCACAATCTTTATAGCCTAAGCTTCCCCCCTCCTCATCCCAGATATTGATGAACAGGAGGAAAACACAGAAACAAAGAACCACAGCTCCTCCTTAATGTGTCACTTCTGAATATATTAAAGAGTCTCTTGAGAAAGCCACCTACCCTGCATGAAAGCAGAGGGAAAAGAGAGTGTCAGGACTGTCAGTTGATGCAAACACCACATCTCTCTTTGCAAGAGGTGCAGATTTCAGCCCTACAGATATCAGTGGTGACAGGCAGCTCTTCTCTCTGCTGGATGGCTTTTTGCTCACATCTTTTCCATGGCTTTTATGGGGGTACCTTCCACTTTTTCAGTCTTACCTTCTCATCCACATCTCCTC